AAAAAAAAAAAACTTGTATGACTGACTTTCAGCAAACACTGAAATCTTCTGAATCTTCTGAAGAACAACACAAGCAAAAATATTTCATTTAACTTTTAAATAGAAACGGTTGAATGTCTAAATGCAAAATATTCTTAAGATGAGCAAGAACACCGTTATCACCATTTAAGGGAGTATTTGTCTTTTCAGTGATACGCTCAGTTATTGAGCCATCATTCACATGAAACAAATATGGTGATAATCAAATTACAGCATTATTGTTATTATTTGCCTTTCATACATTTGGACACAATGAGCAATAGAGAAAGATATTGATCTGCAAAATAATGCAGTTAAACATGCAACATATTTGCCACTACAGCAATTCCTCACAGAATTGAACTTGCTATAATAAGCCACACACCTGCGTTTACTATTAGCTATTTCTGACTGAATGGGATTGCAGGTGACGTCACTCTTTAAAACTGACATCACACAGTGGGTAGAGGAGCTGTGGGTTTCTATAAAAGCAGTGACACCTATGAGATGTGCGTAAACTTAAGAGGTAAACCGCGAGTCCGTTCATTAGGCTAATTATTTAGTGAATCCAAGCACTTATGAAAAAGCAAAGTGTAGACTTTCAGTTTGTGGAAGCACTTGTCAACCTATCAGACATGAATGATTCACTGCTGAACGTGGGTTTGAATGTGTCAGAAGCCAACAGCTCGTCTCATGCCTTGAGTCTGGACTATCGCTCTCTCATCACTTCGGCCACTATGTTTGGCGTCGGGGTCCTCGGAAACCTCGTGGCGATCGTGGTGCTTTGCATCTCCAAAAAGGAGCAGAAGGAGACCACCTTCTACACTCTGGTGTGCGGGATGGCCATCACGGACTTGCTGGGCACCTGTTTCACCAGTCCGGTGGTCATCGCCACATACATCGCGGGCAGGTGGCCAGGCGGAGCGCTCCTGTGCCATTTCTTCTCCTTCTCTATGCTGTTCTTCGGATCGGCTGGCATGTCTATTCTGTGCGCAATGTCAGTGGAGAGATATCTGGCCATAAACCACGCGTACTTCTACTCGCAGCATGTGGACCGGGCTATGGCTCGGTTCGCGCTGATGGCGACGTACCTGGCGAATATCGTGCTGTGCATCTTGCCCAGTTTTGGTTTCGGAAAGCACACGAGACACTTTCCCGGAACTTGGTGCTTCATGGACTGGCGCGCCATGGACTCCGTCGGCGCTTCGTACACGTTTCTGTACGGAGGTTTCATGCTGCTGTTGATCGCCGTTACCGTCATGTGTAATTTTGCCGTGTGTCGTTCACTGGTCGGGATGAGTAAAATGAGTCGCATGGTGAGGGCAGAGGTATCCGGACACACAGGCTCCAGGCGCAGCTTCAGATTAACATCTGCAGCAGAGATCCAGATGTTCTGGCTGTTAATTTTCAT